AACATTCCCTTAATAAGACAAAAAAAATTAGACTGAAAGAACAGACTAACAGCTGCTGAACCATCACAGACAAATGCCAAATGTAGGGGCACTTCTTATTGAAAATTCTATGGGTGTTCATGTTCTTCCTACTGTGTGGTAGAAGCTCAAATGTATTCACCACGAAAGTACATGAATATTCTCTTAGCTACAAACATTTGCTGTCTCATTTCTACTCCTAAACATAGAAAAAAATTTTAGAAATAATAACATTATTCATCTTATTATGCTTGGCTATGATGAAAGCAAGACTATGACATTAAATATACCATTGTAGTGTACCTCTTGTCACAGAAGTATTGACTTGAGAGTTTCAGAGCATTTGATCAGACCCACATATTTCTATACTATTGGTCGGAAAATGTTTTTGATAAACTATACCATTAACAGTAAGAGTAACATTAAAAGTTCATGCTATCATAGATTTATAAACTTAATGTGAATGGAACTGAATGTGGAAATATTTATTATAATCTTGGTGATACATTTCTACTCAACCTCAAGTAGCAAATAGTATACATGTGTCATTCTGAAATAAATTACTAAATATATATTAAAATATTTTATAGTGTATCTTGAGAGCTGTGATGACAGGCATAATCCAGCATTCTTAGCAAGGGAAAATGCTTTCAAAAGGTGACAGACTTTATTAGACCAACTCAACAGATGTTTGACCATTGTTCAATCTCCTAAGAGGTGACCTCTAAATATATGAAATTTCCTAAATAACAGAAGTAGCTATTCATGTAGGCCCCATACCATGTAATTGTTTATGGTAATCAGGTAACTCACAGGTACTGCACTAATAGAAGACTCAGAATGAGACTGGTCAAACCACAAAGACCAATCTTGTGAGTAGAGGGATGGGGCTAGAGACACATGATATCAGTCCAATCCCTGGGGAAGAAGAAAGCCCAAAAATTGAGTTAAATCACATGGGGGATGATACACCCAATCAAAACTATGTAATGAAATCCTAATAAAAACTCTAGAGAAAAGTTTGGTAGGCTTCCTTGGTTAGTTCCTTGGTGTATCCAGGAGGGTACACCCTTGAGGATGATGCCAGCAAGGTGATTATGTCTCTGCAGATGATGGAAGAACCATAATATCTGGCACTCTCTTAGTGCTTTATTTTACTCTGTGTGACTCTACCTTTGGCTGGCTCTGATTTGTACCTTTTCACTATTAAAATACAAAATAAAACTTTAATCATGAGTGGAGCTCTTTCCTGAGTTCTCAATCATTCTAGCAAATACCAAACCTGAGAAGTCTGTGGGACCTTCAAATTTGTGCCAGCTGGTGCGAAGTCAGGATAGCCCTGGGAACTCAAACTTGTGCTGCTGTCACAAATCTTGGATGACTGAGCAATTTGGAAGACTGTGCCTGTTATCTCTAGCTTGGCTAAGGTGGAGAGTGTATTTCTTTCCTTATTTTCCACACCTACCTTGTGATAAGTATATGCCAAATCGATAGAATTTAAATATTTTTTTAAATAATTTTATTGAGAAACAAATAGCAATGAGACAGTTTCAAAACCGATTAACAGGACAGTTTCAATCATTAATACATTGCATATTGTTGTCTTAGTGGTTATTCATTCTACAAGATGCAGACATGATATCCTGTCCACAAATATTATTAGAACAAATCTCTCTATTCACTGAATTAAGAGAAAGTAGCCATATATCTATCCTATTTGAATATACAGATACAAAATGGTCCTTCATTTGTATTCCCCTTTTTTGTTTAGTTTTGTCAGAGAAGGGTATTCCATTGTCATTTAAATATTGTAGGTGCGTGAATTCAGCAAAATATTCCAATAGAGGCCAGTAGTCCATAATAGTAGTGGGTTATCAGTAGGACTGGCAATGTCAGAAGTTGTTGACTTGAGCATTTTACAGCTCAGCATATTAATATGGTTTTACTTTTTATACTTTGTTTCTATACTTTCCTGCTGGATGACACCAAGATAAAGCAAGACCTATATAACAAGAAATGTAACTCTTGTATCTGATAAGGTGAGTCAAATCCCCTCAGAATTTAGATATTTCAAAAAGTAATTAACTCACATACCCAGGTACTTGACCACTAGAAGAACTGGAAGAGCCAAAGACTGGAGATACTAGATTATAGGTCTGCCACCACAGGGGCTACAGTCAAGAGAATCAGAAGTTGCTGTTTCCACGCAGGTTAGCAAACTAGGAAACTGAAACTGTAAAATGATTGAGAATAAAACACCCAGGAGCAAATGCAAAACTTCACAACTAGTGGTGCTCACCTTGCCAGGCAATAGTATGATTTTTGCTTCTTTCCGATCTTCATTTTCAGATAGTAATTCACAGCCAGGACTCCAGAAAGAAAGGAATCTGGGAAATAATAGTTCTTGGCCTTGCAAGTATTTTCCTTATATCTTTTGTTGTTGTTGTTTTTGAGACAGGGTGTTACTCTGCAGTTCAGGCAGGCCTTGAACTCACTATGCAGCCCAAGCTTGTCTCAAATTCACAGCAATACTCTTGCCTCAGCCTCCCAAGTGCTGAGATTACAGTGTGCTAACACTCCCAGCATAATTCCTTGTATTTTATTCAGTGAGGAGAAAAAAAAAATCTTTTTTCCTGTTCTGTCACTTGATCCAAGTTTTTTCTGCAAGTTGTATATTCAAATTTTCACTGTGTGTAGTATAACTGGTTGAAGTTTTAACACATTTATGAACATATATTATTATTAGAAGTTAGAATCACTTCTCAGGGGCTGGTGAGATGGCTCAGTGGTCTAAAGCACCTACTTAGAACAAGCTAAGCTAAGCAAAGCACAGGGACCACGGTTCAATCCCCCAGCACCACATACCAGCCAGCCCCGCCCCCTGGTGGGCTGAGCTGGCCACACACAAAATAAACAAATAAATAAATAAATATTAAAAAAAAAAAAAAGAATCACTTCTCAGGCTTTTGGCTAAGATCAAGTGTAGAAGTTAGTAAATAATATTGTGGATAATAATCTCTATATCTTTCCCAAACTTTGAAATCTTAAAAAGAATGAAATCAACAAAGCCTCTCAATTTCAGTGAAGGGATAGAGAAGTATCTGCTAATCCCTGAATGTTCACAGAAAGCACATAATTTGTTACTTAGATGAAGAAGTGATCTATATGTATAGTAAGCCATGGCATGCAATTTTCATTGACAAAGTCATTTAGTGATTTTTGAATTGCCAAATGTTTTAAAGCATCCTTCTTTAAACAATAGTTTATTTCTAAAAGTAGTTACTTTGTTGCTCATCACCAGACATTAATTCTCCCTTGAAAGAAAAAAATAACTTCATTTTTTCATATATCATCATATGTAACAATAATCTTTTCAAACCATCCATACACTTCACAAAAATTAGTAAGTAGATAATTTATAAATCCCTTTAATCTATCACATGAAAACTGCAAGAAAACTGTGACATTCTGAATGTGAATATACAAGTATGCACTACTATCATTCCACTCTGCAAGTTCCACAGGCTCAGGCCACTTCTAAACCACAACACAACACACAGCCATCAGGCCCAAGGACCACGACACTGCAAATACTAGACTAATTTAATAGCCTGGTTGTTTATTATTTCAAAAATACAAATTGAACTTGGAAAATTTTTTTCACATATACCAATGACTCCTCTGCCACATCCTACTGTGGAGATCACTAAACTTTTTAAAAGAATGATAAAAGTTGTATTTTTCACCTGAATTTAGCAATGACATGCACTTAGAAGGTATTTGTAGAAATCAAGCAGGCAAAGAGGGAAGCAAAAAACGGAGGAATTACATGGGATAAAAATCTTTAAGTTAAAAAAATAATAAAAAATTAAAAAAATCTTTAAGTTGCTTTATTCTGAAGAACAAAGTCATATCACTGAAAATCTCACTTAAGCACACAGAATTTGAAAAAAAAACAAAAGCTACTATTATTTAAAGTCCCATAACTTAGAGGAGATTAAGAGGTAAAGGGAGAAAAGGCCAACATTTACCTTCACTACAGCCTGAAATGAGATATTTAGATACAAGCAAAGGAATTTACATTGGAAAAGGACATCTACCAATAAAAATATGGACAACTATCCACAACATTTAGGTATAAGGTTGCCTAAGCACAAAAATCCTTTTAATTTCATTTTAAAATTACAATTCAATTGGTAAAATTCTAACTATATATTTTAACCAACAAAACATGTCTTCTGGTTGAAAGTCAGAAAAGGGCTGGCAAAATAGCTCAATGGTCTAAAGCACCTGCTTAGGCAAGCTTAGGCAGGTTCAGGGGACCTTGGTTCGATCCCCTGCACCCCTTGCCGTACCAGTCTCTCCCTGAGCCAGCCAAAAGAAAATCAGAAAAAAACAAATATAGCTTGTCCCTTGGTACTTGTGGGAGACTGTGGTTTCAGACTTCCTTGTAGGTACCAAAATCTGTGTTGAAGTCCTGCCATAAAATGTGTGCATAACTTTTTTACCTACATGCATCTTCCCATGTACCTTAAACCAACTCTAGAGTCCTTATAATCCCTAATACAACATAAATTACTATGTAAGTAGTTGTTGTATTGTTTAGAGAATAATGCCAAGAAAAAAGTCTGGACATATTCAGAAGAGATGTAATTTTTTCAAGTATTTTCAATTTATAGTTGTATTGACTGCACTAATAAAAACAGATCTCAGGATACAAAGGGCAAACTGTATATTCCAATTTGGCAAAAGAAACTATAAAGATGCTCATGAAAAAAATGAGATAGCATAAAGCACTCAAAGATAATTATAGGCATTGTTTACCACTGTCCACCCAATGAATGCTCAATAGGCAGCAGTATTAAGCACACCATAGCAATATTTTTAAAAGAAGTTCAAGACATTTAAGACTTGTGGATGCTACGGAAAACAGTATTTAATATGTTGCCTCACATGAAAATAAAATGAAAAAGAGTTTCTACCTTTGTGATAAGAATTCGGTATCTATCCAGCATTGCCTGGTTGTCATGGCAGCCTGCTAGTAACTGCCATACTTCTGCCCTCAATGCTTCAGGAACACCACTCTTCACCAAGGTGGAGAGCCCTTTAGGTCGTGCACCAAGGTTACTGTGCCTGCAAAAAGAAGAACACAAAGCATTCACACTCTCTTTACCACTCTTAAACTCTTTGTTGCTATATAAAGTGCATTTATTAGTTTACACAAAAATATAATCCTGGGTCAAAGACCAACATGACAGAGGGCATGAAGCAATAGTAGTTCTTAAGCTTAATGTCTTTGGCATTTTTTTCTTGTTTTCATCTTATTTACTGGTGAGCCATATTGCTCTAACTTAAGAGGAAATTTTTTCTTCCTTTCATTTACTTGTTAAAACCATCCTATGAATTTATTTATAATAAGAAGTGTGATAGCTGCATACTTGTGGGCATAAAAGAGAACTGAGTGCCCTGAGATAAACATATGGCAAGTTGGCTAGCGTGTGAGGTAGGAGACGACTGAAGGACAAAGTGCCCTCAGACCTATATGTCCCCTTCTCTGTGATTAGGCTAAGTTGCACCAAGTGCAACTCCTCAGTAGAGTGAGGTTCCACACTCATATTCTTTAAGTGTTGAACCATACAAGTTCTACCTCCTCCTAACTTATTCTATGTCCAGCCCAATAGTATTAGCAGCTTAGTTTCTATAACCAAAAATACAAAAGTTTAGTTAGCTGATGGGTATAAATATGAACATCACTGTGCATGGTGGCACATGCCAGCAATCCCAGCACTTGGGAGACTAGGCTAAGGCAGAGAATCACCTCAAGATCAAGGCCAGCCTGGGCTACACAGTGAGTTCAAGTCCAGCTTGAAACACAAAGTAAGATCCTGTCTTAGAAAGAACCTCTCCACCCAGCGTGCTGTGCCAGCCCCATCCCCAGGATGCATTGAGACTGGGTGTGCTGGCACACCCCTGTAATCTCAGCTCTTTGGGAGGCTGAACACAGGCAGATCACTATGAGTCCGATCTACATAGTGAGACCCTGTAGATCCTATAGACCATAACTAAAATAATACCAAAAAAAAAAAAAAAAAAGAAGCTCTCCAAAGTCCATGAACTTCTATCTCAATTGATACCAATTTTATCTATATGGACTTCTGTAACAACTTCTGACACCCGTTTGTCCTACTACAATATATTTCCAACATTACAGGCACAAAGAAGAGACAAATCAGCTTAATTAAATATTCTGTTGGATCAGGGTTTGTATAATGATTTGCCTACGCTTTTCAAATTCAGATCACACACCTGTATACAAAATAAATATGTATATACATATCCTTTACAAGTTAATATTCAGCAATCCTCAAATAAATATTCTATCTATAATGATATAATTCAACTTAAATTGACATTCTGCCTTACTAGATCCTCGGCTGTCTACCCCGAAATTATGAAAATATCTTTTCAGTATGCTTAAAAACCTAGACACTATTTATCTTCATAGACTGAATTTAAAAAGAACTGGGACCAGCAAGGTAGCTCAATAGACTAAGTGCCTGCTTAGGCAAGTGCAGGGACCAGGGTTCAATCCGTGGTACCACATACCATGCCGGCCTTCACCCCCAGGCATGCTGTGCCTGCCACAGATTCCAAGCGTGGTAGCGCATGCCTACAATCCCACCCAGCACTTGGGAGGCTGAAAACAGGAGGATCACTATGAATTCATGCTGCATAGTGAGACCCTGTACCAAGCACACAAAATTTTAAAATATTAAAGATTTAAAAAATAAAAAGAACTGAATCCATTTTCCTACAATGGATGTACCTTGACACTATAATATTATTATTTTTTTTTTTTTTTGGTGGAACCAGGGCTTGAACTCAGATCCTTGCACTTGCCAGGGAAGTGTTTATTCTATTGAGCCATCTCCCCAGCCCTGATACCATAATATTAAGAGAGATAAATCATGCCAATATAAAGGCATGATTTCCTTTATATCAAAAAACCCAAAGGATAAAGAGTAAAATAAAATAGGAAACAGGAAGACAGATCACTTGCAAATGCAAAGAGGAAAAAGAGTATCTAAAAAGAATTAAGATACATGAAACTCCCCAAAAGAATATAATATTATTCACTGCAAATATGTATTAAGAAAAATAAAAAAATTTAAAAACTGAATCACTGTTAAACACTCATAGTTTATTATTTGTATCAATCATATTGCATACAACACTGGATTACTTCAGAGATGGTAATTCATATTAAACCAAATGCTACAAGTATACATCCATGAGAAGGAAAGACACAGACAAAAGCAATTTATTAAAATAATTATTTGCTTCCAATATTTTATTAAACACATAAGTACACATGGCCATTGCTTTGACAGAACATTAACTGCAGGTATCAGGAACTGCAAAGTAGGCAAATATTTATATTTGTCAAATCCCATGCTAGAAACAAGACAGATACTGTGGTGGATAACTGGTGGTCAACTTGTAACACTCAACTAAACTGAATTAGTATGGTGCTGGGTGTAGCGGGCCCATCTGAGGATTGCTATCATAAGCATAAAAAGAGAACTGCAGAGGAAGAGGGTGGGAGCTGTTGATTCTCCTGGAGAAGCTTGTCATGTTGGCTTTCACTCAGCTGTTCTCATTGTCAGAGAAGCTTGGGACCTTGAGGTTGCTGAAGATTGCTGAAATTCACTTTGGGGGAGCTCTGGTTCTCTGAGCATCATTTCCTTACTCCAGGAGGAAGAGGGTGCAGGCTGTTGATCTCTTGGAGAAGCTTATTACATTGGCTTTCTTGATATGAACTCAACTGCTACCATTGGAGAAGCTCACCGCCACTGATGATGGTTCTCTTTTGGGGAGCTCTGCTCCTTACCTTATTCTCACTCACTGGCTCCAGTGCAGATTCTTCAGTCTGCTGACACAGATTCTTCATCCTGCTGGCAGACTTCCCTTCCACCACTGACCTCTGGGCCTTCCCAGTGCAGAACCTAGTTGCAAATGTGCATGAGACACTGGTGTGGGTTCTACGCCTCCAGCTGGACTCACAGAAGACACTATCATGGGCTCTAGGTCTTCAGCTAAATTCATGGAGGAAATTGCCATGGGATCCAGGCCCTCATGGATCCAGACCCTTTTGGGTCTCTATTACATGGACAGATCTCCCTCACTCTTTTGCATTTGATTTTTGGGGTGACTAGAAAATAATCCTATAAATTATGTCTTGTATTATATTTTTCCCTTGCAAACCCTGACTACAACAAAATTGGTACCAGGACAGTATGATTGTTGCTGTGACATTGCCTGGCCATGTTGCTTAAGACCTTGGGAATTAATTGGGAAAGCATTTGATAGACTAACCCAAGAGGCAGCCACTATATGCTGTAAACTATATGGGAGACTCTGGTCAGAGCCTGGAAAAATCAGTACTGATAGAAATGCTTCCAGTTAGGATAAAGCTCAGGAGGCTTTATTGAGAAGGACTGCATTGGATTCTGGATCACAGATGGTACAATTTGTGCTTTGGCAGGAAGCTGGTCTGCATTTTGATTGTTTACAGATAGTGCTTGGATGGCAAAATAATTTCAATGTAGTCTACTGTTGGGATGGTAGTATGATTACTATTGAGAGCTTTTGGCCAGATCTATGCTTGAAATTAAGAGTAAAGAGCCAACAACATGATTTGAAGCATCTGACCAGAGGGGAGGCTCCAGTGGAATTATGGATTTCAAGGATGAAACAGAGGAGAATGTGGTTGTTGAGAACAACATGACAATGGAAAAAATGAACTGAAGCTTTTCACCTGAAGGAAACAGTATACCTGAACTGCGAGGGATCCTGTTTTTTACCCTTCTCATGCCCTGTTAAAAGTTAATGAGGGACCAGGGGTATAGCTCAGTGGCACAGTGCCTGCCTGGGAAGCACAAGGTACTGAGTTCAATTCCCAGTACCACTCAAAAAAAAAAAAAAAAAAGTTAACGTGAACCAAGGATTGTGGTCATAATGGCTTTTTAAACATGATTCTAATGTAGTATTTAGATGTGTTTATAATCAGGTGAATTAGTCAAAGTCTTATGGTTTTAACCTTGAATTTCAATCGCCCTTTAAATATTTTGCTTTTGGTATGGGAATGAATGTGATATTAATGCAAATATGAAGAGCTCAAGACATTATTACTTTTCACAGATCTGCCACTGGAAACTACGGCTTATGTAGGACAAGGATATGTCCCTAGTTATCAAATTGACCAAGTGGGTGGACTGATAACTAGGTCAAACCTGTGGAACTCGATCAGCATGGTTTTGGAAGATCCACTTGAGGATTGTTGCCAATAGCATAAAAAAAAGAATTGAAAGAGAAGGGGGGATGCCAGTTGTTGATTCTTCTGGAGAAGCTTGTCCATGCTTGCTTTCCTGATTTGAACAATCATCTGAGGTGCTATGGATCTGACTATCACTGAGGATGGCAGTGGCTCTCTTCAGGGGAGCTCTGGTCTTTACTTAAGAGTGACACTTCCTGGTACCAGTGCAGATCCCTCAGCCTGCTGGCACACATCCTTCATCCCGCTGGTGCGCACTTCCTAGCTTCCATCACAGACCTTTAGCCTTCCCAGCACAGGTCCTTGATATGGAGCTGCATGAGACATGGTAGTGGGCTCTAGGTTTCCAGTTGGACTCATGGGGTTGGGGGCAGGGACTGCTATTGGCTCTAGGTCTTTAGGTGGACTCATACACATTGGTGTGGAATCCAAGACCTCATTTGGATTCTTTGGGTCTCCATTGTGTGGGCAGATCTCCCACATTCTTTTGCATTTGACTTGGGTAAATATTATAAAATAATCCTCTAAATTATGTGTCCTATATTAAACTGTTTTCCTTCAAATGCTGAGTACAACAGATACCCAATACAATCATTTAAAGTCATGCAGAAGCAAATATATACTAACTATACAGCAATCAGCTAGTTTTTAAAAGCATGAATAGAAATTTCACAAGCACAAGATTCTGTGTCTTTACTTACATATTCTAAGCACCTAACAGTACCTAGTCCATTGAAGGCATTCAATACAATTTTGATAAATAAAGCAAAATATTTATATTAAGGTTAAAAAATTAATC